TCCAAGGTAATGGGTATCATTTTCTTAGCAAAACAAAATTACTGGTAAATCAACAACATTGTATTCCCACTTCACATAACCACAAATTGTTTTGATATAAAATTAATATTCAATTATTGAATATTCCACCAATAAATTACTTTGACTCATCAAACTTTTCATAAATTTTTTGTATTTTCATCCTTTCTCAGTGGATCTTGGCGATTATTCGAGCCCAGATAACTTCACGTCTTCATTATTTTGGAAGATAAATTCATATATCTTGTTGCAATTTTAGAATTTCTTTATTATATGTTAATGTATTTTGTGTTGTATATGTATAATTGTAGATGACCAGAACCAGAACCCGCTTCATATTTTTCTTCATTGGTGTTCCCATAGAAGTTATTACTTTTTTTCGTAAAAGTGGTTTGTTAAAATCTATCTTTTTAGACTTTCTTAATAAAATTTTACATGTAATTTGTTTAACATTTCGTCGGGTGCGGTCTTTAAACTAAAAGTAATGGGCGCGATGTGTCAAATTGATTACGCGGCTGTTTACGCCTCTTATTTTTAATTACAACAACTTATTTTAATCCTCCTCCTCCTCAGTCGTTTCCTCATTGCTGAGTGTCGTGATTCCCTATAATACGAGCCACTATCTCTTTCCATCGGCTTCTGTCCTGAGCTTCCCTCATGGATTCTGAAAATGTTTTTCCACTGGCTTTCTGTACCTGATCCGTCCATCGAATAGGTGAGCGACCTCTACTTCTGCGCCCTTCAACGTTTCCCGAAATTATAAGTCTCTCAAGATTATCATCACTTCTTCTTGCAATATGGCCGAAAAATTTTAAGACGGTGGAGAGGCAAATAGACGAAAGTCGAGTCTGAATATTAAGCTCTTGGAGGATTGAGTGATTTGTTCTGTGTTCCGTCCATGAGATCCGAAGCATTCTTCTCCAGCACCACATTTCAAAAGCGTCAATCCTTTTTCTGTCGTCCGATTTGATTGTCCATGTTTCGGATCCGTAACTAAATATGGGAAAAATTAATGCACGTACTAATCTTATTTTGGTGTTCTTCGACAAGGCGCGATCTTTCCAGATTTTTGATAATCGACTCATAGCGTTTTTAGCCATGCCTATTCTCCTACGTATTTCTGTTTCACAAGATCCTGTATTATTGATGTAGGATCCTAGATAATTGAACTCGTTAACCACTTCAAACTGGTCCAAGGCTCCTGTTGTCTGAAGTGAATTTGAATAGTCTACTATCATAATTTTTGTTTTTTGTTTATTGATCTTGAGACCACATCTATTGCTTTCGACTTCCACTAGCTGCAGCAGGCTGGACATTTCTTCTTCGGATGCAGTTATTAATGTTGTATCATCTGCATATCTGAGATTTGAGATCTTTTTTCCTGCTATAGAAATACCGCCATTCCATTTGTCGAGTGCTTTTCTCATTATATATTCCCCATAGAAATTAAAAAGACTTGGAGATAGAATACATCCTTGTCGGACTCCTCTGCCTATTTTAAAAGGATCGGACTTATGATTTTCAATTCTTATTCTGGTTTCACTGTTCTCATATAGACTTTTCACCAGAGCTGACAGATGATCAGGAACCCCCATCTCATGTAGAACTTTCCACAAAACTGTCCAGTTTACACAGTCAAATGCCTTCTGATAATCCAGAAAGCAGATGATCATCGGAATTTTGAATTCTCGTGCTTTCTCAATGAGTTGTCGCATATTAAGAATTTGCTCCCTTGTGCCTTTACCCTTAACGAAGCCTGCCTGTTCTTGTGGTATTTGTCTATCCAGGTATGTCTGCATGCGACACTTGATAATTCTCAACAGAATTTTACTTGGGTGTGAAATTAGTGAAATTGTTCGGTAGTTACTACATTTTGTGGTTACGCCTTTCTTATGAATGGGAATAAATAGTGCGGTACACCAATCGCTGGGCCATTTACCGATTCTCCATACATGATTGCACAGTCTCCACATTAATTGGATACCATGTTCACCCATGTTCTGTAAAAGTTCTGCCGTGATATTATCGCAACCAGGTGATTTATTTCTTTTAAGGTGTTTTATGGCTTCCTCGACTTCAGACCTTAGAATATCTGGTTCTAGTGTTGTTGCTGAGACTTGCAGTGCTGTTGTATGCTTAATGTTAGAGGTTTCAGCTTTATAGAGTTCTGTGCAGTATTTCTTCCAAGTCTCCAGAACTGCATCCATATCGCTTACCATATTGCCTGTCTCATCCTCTATAGCGTAATTTCTGGGTTTGAATTCCCGAGCCAGTAACTTTACTTTCTGAAAGAGATCTCTTGTTTCATTTCGATGTAAGTGGATTTCTACTTCCTGGCAAATGTTAGACACATATTTGTCTTTATCTTTCCGGCAATTTCTTTGGATTTCTCTTGATAAGCTTCGATAGTCGTTTAAATCAAAACTGCCAACTTTAAGTTGCCTTCTTTGTTCTATAATTTTCCATGTTTGGTCACTGATCCATGGTTTACGACTGTTGTTTTTTATGGGTTGGCGACTTTGCTTAGCTGTATCTAATATATCTTTTTTAAAAACTCCCCAGAAAGTCTCGATATTATCTATGGGGGTAGTACTTGTCTCAGTTAACACTGGGTTTATTCTTTCTTTGAAAGTTAAAAGTTCAGTCTCTGTAAGCATGGGAGTTCTAGGAGTGGGCTTGTGTTTGTTTCTAAAACGTATTCGGAATACAGCTACAAGAAGTTGGTGGTCGCTTCCACAATCTGCACCTGGATAAGTTTTTGCGTTAGTGACTGAGGACTTCCACCTTGAATTTATCATTATGAAATCTATCTGATTTCTTGTTCGGTCGCCCGGTGATTTCCATGTGTAGAGCCTTCGTGGGTGGTGTTGGAAGTAGGTATTCATTACAGACAATTTTCTTTGGCCACAGAACTCTATTAATCTATCGCCTCGTTCATTTCTTTCCCCAAGACCAAAAGGACCCAAGGTGAATCTCATATGATGATCAAGCTGAGTTCTACCAATTTTGGCATTGAAGTCGCCCACTATCACTACAATGTCCTTGTTAGATATTTTGTCGAGTGTTGTCTCCAAAGTTGTGTAAAAATTTTCCACAATTATGTCGTCTGCTGTTGATGTAGGGGCATATACTTGTATAATGTGTAAGACACAAGTTGATCCTAGAATCCTAAGGTGGATGATTCTATCATTAATTGTATCATATCCACAAACAGAGTTTTGGAGTTTTGAAGAAACTATTATTGCGACACCATTTTTACTTTCATTTTCATTGCCCGAGAAATATACGATGTTTCCGGAAATGCTACGAAAGTGTCCTGTCCCCTTCCAGTGGGTTTCACTTATACCAAGAATCGAAACACCATGATCTTTCATTTCTCTCTCGACTATATGTAGTTTTCCAGGATGCTGTACTAAACCTTGTATGTTCCAGGTTCCTATTTTGTGGGTCTTCCGGAAAAACATCTTGTTATAATTGGATGTGTAAAACATCTTATTTTAATACTATGCATTTAATACACGTTCTTCTTCTTCTTCTTCTTACGGTGTCTATCTGTTCCGGATGTTCGCGATTAGTATGGCTATCCTACCGGTTGTCGACGTATTAAATCACTTTCTTAGATTTTGAAGCCAAGATATTCTTTCTTTCCCTGGTCCTCTCTTCCCAAATACCTTGCCCTGAAGAATGAGTTGCGACCATAATATGAGGTCAAGGTATATGAGGCCAAGATATTCTAGTTTGCCCTCTTTGATGGTGTTAATAATCTCGCATTCTTTGCCTATTCTACGTAGGACCTCAACATTAGTCACACTATCCACCCATGAAATTCTTAAAATACGTCTGTATAACTCTGTTATGTTGTTTTGAACGAACTCTTTGTGATGGGGATTCTTATTCCATTTTGTTTTTTCTAAGAGCTTCTATCCTTTATTTTTCTCTCTTCCAAAAAAAAACGTTGTTATGATATGCGTTAGATCCATCGTAATCATCATTATCATTAGCTTCTTGCTCGGTATCTGAATCGCCGTTGTTTTTTAGGTTGTTACCAAGATTGTATTTTTTTCTGGTTGCTAGGTAGTGTTGACAGTCAGGAAGTACATGTGTTACGGAAGCACGACTTCCGTGTGTTGCAGTACTGGCACAAAATCTGATTACTGGAATTTATTAGGTGTCCATGTGTAAGGCGTGTGTGCCCATTCTCAATCTTCGAACGATAGATTTGTTCTTTCTTTTCATTGGTGGGAGCTGGTGGTAGAAAATGTTTGGTTGTAGAACGCTTAACTTGGTATTGCTTTTTTTCCAATGATCATTCCAAAGGTCCATTATTTTATGTTTGAATGTTCTTTTTAGATCTGATGATGTTTGCATATCTGTTATTACGTTAGGAGAACATGCTTGTTTTGCTGCTTGATCGGCTTTTTCGTTATCTGGAATACCAACGTATGATGGGACCCACAATATTGTTACTGTAATTCCATTAGTTTGAAAACGATTACATATATTCTGAATTTCTTGAACTATTGGGTGGATAGAATGTAGGCTTGTTTATGGACTGCATGGAGAACAGAGAGTTCGTACAGATTGCTATAGTTTTATCATCGTTGAGTGAAGTTTTCATCGCTTGTAGTATTCCATATAGTTCAGCAGTATAAATACGGCAATTACTGGAAAGTCGAAACAAGTTGAGGTGGTTGTAGTGGTTGTAATAGCACAGCCAACATCTTCAGTCTTGGATGCTTTTGAGTAAAAGATCTTATCGAAGTTACATTGATGTAGTATTTCATAAAATCTTTGTTAAGTTAATAACTTTACAACGAATAAATATTTTATAATACTCTTTAAAAATTTGTTTTTTTTTATAATTTTTTACAGAATAAAAACTCATCAGTTTAGTATGTATTTGGTTTGCTAAATGGAACAAATCTTTCTTTGTAATACATTTTAAACTATTGTAATATTACAGTATAATGTTTGTGTTGCAGGAGTTTCCTGTTCTCACCGGTGATTCCCAATGTTTCGTTTAAGGCAGAACAAACATTAGCGTGGAGATGGCTCAATTAGTTATCAAAAGTAAGTAGATATTTAACTTAGTACTCAGTAAACAATCAGCTTCTGCTCAGAAGGCAACTTAAACTGTTGCGTATTCATTGATAAAGTAGATATTGCTATGTATTTTGGTACCCATGCTAGTGTCAGACATTCCTAAGGTTGGTAATATGTCAAGAAGGGCTGTTGTGACATGGCGGCTAGTAGACTTAGAAGTTTAGTTGTTACTGTTAGTTGTACGGTTTCAATTTAATATTCATTAAAGGGTGTTCTGATCAACTACTTGTTTTATTAATACACAACATTCTGGCGACGAGGATAATATAGTTTGTGCGGTGTAAATTCAGAAGTTTATAAAAAATGGCGATAATCAGCAATATAGAAACATTCGGCGGGAAAGCTGAAGAACTCTAGACAAACCTGGAACGAATGGAGCATATCTTTGTGGTGAACAAAATAATGGAAGAAATAAAAGTCTCAATGTTTATCACGATAGCTGGTTCTAATGTGTATCAGACACTAAAAAAATTATCGGCACCTCAAAGCCCAGGTGAGCTATCATATAGGAAAGTTGTAGAGCTTCTATTAGCACATTACTCACCACTAGTATCTGAAATTTATGAACGATTTATTTTTAACAAATGAAATCAGAGGATAGATCAGTCCGTTTCAAAATAAATGGTTGAAATTCGTTTACTTGCGAGCACGTGTAACTTTAAGCAATATTTTTGATGAAGCATTACGAAATTCAACGAAAAGTATTAGCAGATGAAATGTTGACATTTTAAAGTGCTTGTAAAGATGCTCAAGCAGCAGAGTTGGCCGAAAAACAAATTAGAAATTTGTCTGAAGACACTGGTGTAAATAGTGTCAGAAACACCGATTATAATGAGACTCATAATCAGCCAAAAGTGAGGGGGTACAAAAGTAATAATTCGTTTAGTTTTAAAAGTGGTGAATGTGAAGAAGTTTGCAACAAATGTAATCGTCAGCATGCCAAGGATTAGTGTCAAGCCAAAAGATGGAGAAGTTTTTCCTGTCAGAGATTTGGCCATATTAGAGATGTGTAAAAATTAGTCCAAATTCTAAAGACAAAAAACATAGACCATAGGGACTTACGAATAATAACAAACATCTACTGGAATCAAAGAGCACAAATCGTAATAGATAACGAACCCAGTCCAGAAATTGAAATCAGGGGAGGAGTTAGGCAGAAATGTATTATGTCCCCATTACTATTTAATGTATAATACCCTGACAAGAAGTATCCTTACATATGGGTCCGAAAACTGAACAATAAACAAGAGAAATAGAGGTAGAATAAGAGCAGTAGAAATGGAGTTCCTGAGGGGAAGCTGTAGACTTACAAAAAGAGACAGAATTGAAAACGCAGAGATTAAGCGGAGAATGGGAGTGCAATCAGACATAATCGACTATATAGAGGAGAAGAGACTATCCTGGTACGGCCACGTCAGAAGAGCGGACAGAGGACGCTGGATAAACAAAATCACAGAATGGAGCCCGATCGGAAGAAGAAAGAGAGGAAGACCTCGAAGGTCATTCAGAGACGAAATCGACGAGGATATGAAAAAAAAACCCTGCGAGATGGAGACTGGAATGACAGGGAAAATTGGAGAAAACGGTTGAGTGAAGGAAGATAGTGAAAACTGTGGAAGTAAATGCAGAAAACTGCTAGTATTGAAATAGCAAGAAATGCGTTTGTAAAAATGAAAACAATTCTCTGCAACAAAGAACTTAGATTAGAACTGAGAGTAAGAGCACTGAGATGCTACGTGTTTTCGATACTGCAATATGGACTTGAAAGCTGAACATTGAAGCAAGAACACATAAATAAGTTACAGTCCTTTGAAATGTGGTGTTACAGGACGATGCTTAGAATAGCATGGACATAGAAGAAAATTGCTAAGGCTGATAAGACTGAAAAAGATAAGAGGAGGAAGGAGTATAGGAAGAAAGAGAGTGTCATGGTTGAAGAATTTAGGGGCTGGTTTAAATGTAGTTCTATACAACTCTTTAGAGCAGTAGTAGATAAAGTAAAGATAGTGATGATGATATTCAACCTCCGAATGGGAGACGGCAATTAAAGAAGAAGAAGAGATGACTTTGTTGGTTGGTATACGCTGTAAATAGCTGTATTGAGGTCTTTCTATATCATGCTCTCAAGTTAGCAAGCCAGGATATTCTTTTTCCTGCTGGGGCCCTTTTTCCTTAAATTTTACCTTGCAAAATGCATTGGAGTAGTTCATATTATCTGCCTTGATTTCTTATTATATGAACCAAGTACTGCAGCTTACGGTCCTTCACAATGTTGACCAATGTTTGTCATAGATAAAAAAGTTTAAATGTTATATATAAAATTCCCCATACACTTATTCACTTTGTCTCTTAAACGACACTGAAAATAGCAGATTCATAAAGAATAATTAAATACATCATTAATGTTTTTTATATGACAAATAATTTCCAGAAAACCACACAAGAGTGTTTTAATATCAATTAAACTAAAACTTATGAAATTGTTTTCATATTGTTTAGTGCTATACTCATCGTGGGATATTGTTAATTTGATTTTTTAGTATAGATAATCCTTGAAATGATATTTTCAAAGGTTATTAGTGGTATTAATATATGAATGTGACTAATTGATTTAAATTGAACTAAACTAATAGAATCACGTACATGGAAAACGTATATTCAGTGGTTCTTGTAGACGACAAATCCATGGGACATTTTTGATGGAGGCTACAATGGTGTATTGTTGCTTGCTCCTGGGGGTGGTTGATTTTAATCTTCTACTTCGATAGTAAGTAGTTCTTTATAGTGTTCCACCCACCTTTTTAATACTTATTCTTTTGTATTGAGTGTATGCGCCTCCTTATCCTTACATAGTCCGATCCTTGGTTTAAATTCGTTTCTTGTATTATTTAGATTTTTATAAAATGTTCTTGTTTGATTTTTCTTTTTTAATGCCTCAAGTATTTCTTCAGTAGATTTAGAATAATGGGTATATATCATTAAATAGATTTTTTTCAAAATTTATAATTGAACAATGACATAATGATCACTTTTTTAACATGATTTTATCATTACATATTTTTCGTAGAACAATATAGTGTTTCAGTAAATCAGTAAAGTGAAATTGAAAGCAGTATATCTACTGAAAAATCAGTAGACCTGGTAACCCCGCGAGAGCTAGTTATGGGACACGTACGGGCACCAAAACATGGTGGTCATATCGAAACTGGCTTCACTTTTCGAAGGATTATTAAATGAGTGTTACCTGTCCTTTCTCTTTCCTTGTCTAAGGCTTATATTGACAACATTAATGACATTGTGTGTCACGCTGTCAGGCACTGACATTTACGATTTGCAAAATAGCTGAACTGTCAATCATTGGCATTTAAATCCACAACCATGAATGAAAATAATAACATAAAACTATGAAAGCTACGCCCCGATTCACAATTTTACATAGGAAGCCAATATGTAAATTTATTTTAGGTTTATTCGCGCTATATTAATGTAGTAAGTCACAAATTTCTATTTTTATCTTTTCAGAATGTATACCAGTGCGAGCTATAATATGGATAATGTGCTTCACCTGCACATTATTCCTGTACATGTTAAGAATAAATTTGTCCATTATAATTCTGGCTATGGTACAGCCTATGACCAAAGGCAACACAACTTTTGTACCGGAATGTAAACTACTTAGACAATCTCCAAGCAACGATAGTATCGTAGCTGAAGCTCTTCATTCTGACGAACCGGATGTAAGTGTATTTGATTTCTACATATAAATATATATTAAGTATAATTAACTATGTTAAATATTGTTAAAATATAGAAGACTAACTTTAGTTAGCAATGAAGTAATACTCATCATGATCAGTCTTATTTAAATGTACCGGGTGGTCCAATAAGCCGATCTCTCGGCTATATATCAGAAACTATTCATGTTATAACTTTAGGAAAAAAATTTCCTTAGTAAAAGTGGCCAAGAGAAATCGCTGAAAATAACTTTTAAAATTCTGGATTAACCGCTAGGGGGCGTAACCTGCGAAGAAAACTTTGAAAACCAGTTTTTTGGGAAATATGTCCAATTATACCAAGTGTTAAATAAGTAAACTAGAAAGGGGCATAAATTTTTGCCAAAGTTGTTCAAGTACTTTTTTTTATTTTTTCAAATAAAGGGTGGGGGAGAGTGGGAAAGTATTTGTGGATAAATACCTATAACTTTGGTTTGGTCCAACCGATTTTAATGAAATTAGTGTCATTAGAAAGAGTGTAGATAAATTAATTCACATCTACTATAAAATAATTACATTTAGTTTTCATAGTCGTAGGTAGAGGGGACTTTTAAATAAAAAAAATTAAAATTTGTTTTTCTTCAAAATTTTTAATGGAAACACCTATTTATTGTAAATTATAATGGAACTGGAATAAATTCGTAACAAAATGGAGCAAACCGCATGTTAATAGCTTTTGTTGAACTCGAGATATGAATAAAAACTCATAAACATAAGTAAGTATAGTATTGACACACCCTGTATTATAAATTACATTAAAAAATAAGTCAGTAGGTGTTTTCAAATTTTTTTATAGCAGAAGAATCTTAATGTTGATACCTATTTTCTAAAAAATAGTTTTTTCGAAATTAAGTAGGCTACGACAATGAATTTGACGGGGAGTTCATATTGTTTATTTATTGACAGCAGTCAAAACATTGTTAAGAAGTGCTATATTATAATTCGAATTAAAGATTGCACTTTTTTTAAAAGATATTAATAATGGTAATATTAGTAATTAATTATCAGTACAAATAATTCGTGATGAGTATATCAAATTGTATGATATGATTGGAGTTTATTTCGAATGTCACCAAAATGCCGCTATTGCCTCACGTATATATTTTGTAAGATATCGTGACAAGAGACATTATGGCAAAGAAGTATTTGAAAGAAAGGCAAAAAGATTAAGATAAACTGGTAGTTTTTCTCGTCCTTGTTTTAAACGAAGTAGTAGAGTTATGACCGAAGATAATTCAATCAATGTTCTTGCTTTAATTCAACAGAATCCACATATAAGTAGTCCGAAATCTCTACTTCTTTGCCACAATATCTCCTGCCAGGATATCTTACAGAATATATACGTGAGGCAATAGCGCCATTTTGGTGATATTCGAAATAAACTCCAATCATGTCATACAATTTGATATACTCATCACGAATTATTAGTACTGATAATTAATTACTAATATTACCAATATTAATATCTATTGAAAAAAATGCAATTTTCAATTCGAATTATAATACATATAACACTTCTTAACAATATTTTGACTGCTGTCAATAAATAAACAATATGAACTCCCTGTCAAATTCATTGTCGTAGCCTACTTAGTTTCGAAAAAACAATTTTTAATCATATGAAATAACAATGGTCAAAATAGGTATCAGCATTAAGAGTTTTCTGCTATAAAAAATTTTGAAAGTACCTACTGACTTATTTTTTAATTTATTTTATAATACAGGGTGTGTCAATACTATACTTACTTATTTTTATGCGTTTTTATTCATATCTCGAGTTCGATAAAAGCTATTAACATGTGGTTTGCGCCATTTTGTTACAAATTTAATCCAGTTCCATTATAATTTACAATAAATAGGTGTTCACATTAAAAATTTTGAAGAAAAACAAATTTTAATTTTTTCTATTCGAAAGTACCCTCTACCTACGACAATTAAAACTAAATGCAATTATTTTATAGTAGATGTAAATTAATTCATCCATACTCTTTCTAATGACACTAATTTTGTTAAAATCGGTTTATCCAAACCAAAGTTATAGGTATTTATCCACAAATATTTTCCTACTCTCCCCCACCCTTTATTTGAAAAAATAAAAAAAAGTACTTGAACAACTTCGTGCAGAATTTATGCCTCTTTCTAGTTTACTTATCTTGGTATAATTGGACATATTTCCCAAAAAACTGGTTTTCAAAATTTTCTTCGCAGGTTACGCCCCCTAGCGGTTAATCCAGAATCTTAAAAGTTATTTCCAGCGATTTCTCTTGGCCACTTTTACTAAGGATTTTTATCTCCTAAAGTTATAACATGAATAGTTTCTGATATATAGCCGAGAGATCGGCTTATTGGACCACCCGGTACTTTTTTCCAGTTTTTATCCAAATTGTACTGGGCAGCACTGGTTCAAAATGCCAGTAGTGATTCCAGTTGTGAACTGACCCTTCTAATGTTATTTAGTAATGTAGCACATATTTCTTACTCTAGAATAATCTATTTAAATAATTCACTGAGAACTATTAATTACCATAACTGGAAAACAATAAATTTTAACATGTTATGGGCCCAGAGAGGCAAAAAAAAATATTTAAAAAGTGTGAAATAAAAAATGGATAATGCAATTGAAGAGCTTCTTGCAAAATAGTGGTAAGCCACAAAATAATAAAATCGAGATATTGATTTGTAAAGTTTTAAAAAATCTAGAAAATATTACTTTAAATGTAGAAACATTAACGCTTGTTATTTAATTATGTTATTTATTAAGTTCCATGTGCATTTATTATTTCATATAAAAAAACACATATTTACATAAAAAAGATGTTTATTCGAAAAAAATGTGGCTTAACATGTTCTTAAATTAAAAAAATCGTAACACAAAAAACGATAGTCGAAAAAATTTCTTACACATATCAGAACAAGGTAATTTAAACCCTATGTTATAATGAGTACAAAATATTTTTCTGTATGCACTTTCTTTAACTGGCGTAATATTCATTTCTGTACACCATGGTACATAAAATCTGTATGTAGTCCTGTAATTGTCATATAACAGTTCAGATATTCTTTTTTTATTCTTTTGGCTCTGCTATAGTGACTTTGGTATTTGGGAATGGATTCAATATGAGTTTTGACTGATTGAATCTGTTCCTCTGAATGTTTATTAGGTCTGTTTGTGTGCTTACCTTTCTTATTAGGAATAGAAACCATAGCCCCGAGTGACTTCATTTTAAAATATTTTCAATTCTTCCACGAGATTTTTGAAGTACATGAACATTTAGGAATTCAGTCTTGCATACTTTAATTTCCATCTCCCCTACATTAACCAAATATTCAGCTGTGAATTTTCTTTTGGAAATATTGCGTTTTTGTTTTTCTTAGAAAGAGATAACTATTTTGAAGGTCGAATGAGCCCAACTCCCAAAATGTCTTAAATACATGTTAATGATTACTTTTCAGTTTCTCCCTACATTTATTTTTACATTCACACGGTTAGCCAATTTCACGTGAACTAAAAATCGTCTTGGTTTTCTTCGAAGTATACTGCTGTCCAGAATTACGGCTTCTTTTTCTGTCATTTCAATCATGGTGTTTCTCATTTCTTTGTCTTCACCTTGTTGGTTTTCTCTTCTCTGGATTTACCTCCTTATCTCCAAAAAGCCTTGGTATTGGTTCCTGCAATTCATCCTAAAACACAACAAAAAATGACTGCATTAGACTATAGAATTTGAGAATATTTCAGAATTTTTATACTCGATATGCCACAAGGCATACCATATTTTTCCAAGCCAAAAGCCAAAATATCAGAATAAAAAGCTTACCTCGCTAGATTGAGACGAAAAATCATCGCTACTGGGCCTAAAGTCTTTATCTGCTACGCTGTCATCACTATCATCTATAAAATTTACATTTAAAGTGCTATTTTCGCTTAAAACCGATCTTATTTCAGCACGTGCACCTGATGTAGACGCCATTTTGATGTAGCTTACCACGGTTTACGCGAAAAAGTGAACAGAAACGGACGATTGCATAAACACGATTCATCAATAACTCCGCCATTTATTGCAATAATTACCAAATAATTTTTGTGTGGCTTAACATAGGTTTCTTTAAATACGTAATGCAATAAAATAGATATCTGTAAAAATGTGGCTTACCATTATATTGCAATAAGGTCTTCAATTGTGAATATCTTTCAGTTAACAAATGCTACAAATTTTAATAATTGTAAATTCAAAGTAACTATACTGCTGAAAGAAAAGCAATTAGTAGATCTATTGGAAAAAACAGAGAAGATCCCAAAGGTAAAAGCATCATAGTGCAATGTCTAACAGACAAACATTTGGATTTAATTAAGGATTCAAAAACCACAAAAGAAATTATTAAAGAATGTCTTTCTTTAAGACTTTATTTAATCAATAGAAAGTCACCAGGACCAGACGGAATAACCAACGAGCTTCTAAAATACGGAGGAGAAAGTATAACCCTATAGATGACAAAACTTATACAAAAACTAATATTGCACTGCAAGATACCAGACGCATAGAGAAACAGAGAAACAAGGATACCAATGTTCAAGAAAGGAGACAAAGAAGACCCCAACAATTATAGAGGTATAAATCTACTGAACACCGCACTTAAGCTTACCACAAAAGTCCTAACCAACAAAATTATTATAATAATAACTTTATTAGATTAACAACAAGGATTCAGATCCAGAAGATCTTGCTTAGACGCCATATTTGTACTAAGACAAATCACAGAAAAGGCCATCGAGTATAATAAACCAGCATATCTATGTTTTATAGACCTGATGAAGGCTTTCGATTGATATCCAAGTCGAAGACGTCTTACACCTACTGTATAAAAGAAACACCAATTAATAATATACAAACCATCGAAAACATATACCTCCATAATCGAATACAGGCAAAGATAAATGGAAAATTAAGCAGTGTATACCATTACAAAGCGAAGTCAGACAGGGTGACTCGTTAAGCTCACTTCTCTTTAATATAATAATGGACGAAATAATACAAGCAGTACATAAAGGTCATGGCTACAAAATGGGAAACAAAGAAATCCAAATATTATGTTATGCAGACGACGCTGCATTAATCGCCGAGACAGAAGACGAGCTCCAAAGATTTGATTAACACATATCTTCAATACAACAGCTAGGAAATACAATATGATAATAACAGCAGAAAAAACCTAATGTATGACAACATCTAAATACCCACTACGGTGTAAAATCGAAATCGATGGGAAAACAACAAAGCAGGAAGTAAGGTTTAGATATCTGGGAATAGATATAACTAGTTACGGAGATGTTGAAGAAGAAGTACGACATCAAAGCTATAAAGCAAGTAAAGTGACGGGATCTCTTAATGACACAATCTGGAAGCACAAACACCCAAGAGAAAACACAAAAACAAGAATCCATGGAGAAGCAGAAATTAGATCTATAATAACATACACGGCGAGGACAAGACCTGAAACATCTAAAACAAGACGACTGCTAGAAACAACAGAGATGAAAATACTCCGCCGAATGTCCACTTCGAGGAGTAGAACGAAAACATCAGTAGAATGGCAGAGGATATAATTGTACGAATAGCACGAGATAAACCACCAAATGGACGAAGAAGTATTGACAGACCAAAAAAAATATGGTGCGACAATTTAAACAATTTAGTAGGCTAATATTGAAGAAGAAACAGGCTTAAAGCTTGCATATAAGACGGTACGGACATGTCAGGCGAACAGACCCAAACCGATGGATAGCAAAAATAACAGAGTGGAGTCCTATAGGAAAACGCAAAAGAGGCAAACCAAGAAGATCTTTTAGAGATGAGGTAGGTGAAGGCATGGAAAAAAGAGGATTGGAAGACGGAGAATGGGAGGACAGAGAGAAAATGGTTTAGAGAAGTCAGACAGCGACAGCTGTTAAGAAGAAATAACTAAAGTACTGGGAAACATATCGAAGAGAAAAAGTGCATTTATAAAAATTACATTGAAGTATAAATTGTTAAGATTGAAGATAAAAATATTTAAATGAAAAATTAATATTTAATGTAAACTAATGTTTTGTGGTTATCGTATTAAATCGACCTATCTTTCATTTAATTTTTATTTTATTTCAGTATGGTACTAAATTTGCATGGAGCACAGAACTACAAGGGCTAATTCTGGGATCTTACTTTTGGGGATTCACGATTTCCGCAATCCCTGGGGGAGTTTTAGCGGAACGATTTGGCCCATCTAAATGTATCACCATCTCATTTCTACTGTGTGGATTTTTGACTTTATTAGGACCATGGGCTGCGGGTTGGGATGCCTGGGTTTTAATAGCATCCAGATTTTTGATAGGATTATTTGGGGTAAGTCAACTGTTTGCCCATTGTATTTAGATATGGAAAATTTTTTAAAAACACACAATAATTTTTTTTTCTTCCTTATAAGTTGAAGTGTAGTGGAAAGGGTTCTTAGATTTTTTTAACGTAATTATACTCATTAACTTCAGAGAGTTTAAGAAAGATTGCAGAAAAAGATAAAGAGCTACTTAGAGAGCCTACTGTGAGGAAATCCAATATTTCCTGTAGACTTCCAGGCTACAAAAAGCGCTCCTAAAGGACCCACAGCGGCATATTAACGAAGGAAGATAAAAGCAAAACTTCCATCCTTTGCAAAACCTGATAAAAACCACTTCCTTGGTTTCTAGGAAAAACAATCATACCCTCATTGAACGACTGGCAACTCACCAGAATAATGATTATATGAGGAAAATTTAAGATGAGTCATATTGTGCTTCACTCCTTTCAAGTCACCAGGGCCTGACGGTATATATCCAGCCCTACTACTGTAAAGACTTTATGTTTTTCTGCCGCACCTTGTATGAATATTCAGAGCCTCTTTGACTTGGGAAGTAGAGAGAGGTACGTGTGGTCTTCGCACCAGAACCAAGTAGGATTGACTACACCCTACCAAAGGCTTTCCGACCAATTAGCCTAACATTGTTTCTCTTGAAAACGATGGAAAAGATAAGCATAAGGTACATAAGGGATGAAATGCCCTGGTTCATTACCCACTTCACCCAAATCTGAATGCATATACTTCGGGAAGATCTACAGATATCTGGATAATAAAGCATTCACCCTAAGTAATAAGCAGAAATGTAGAAGACGTTTCTGTTAGCGGCATAGTTACGAGAGAGTGTTCAAAGTGAAGGGTGCTATTCATACTGCAATATAGTTCTAGACATCCTGGTTAAACAACTCAACAGCAAGCAATTCTACATGATAACCTATGCAGACGATATTGCTGTCGTGCAAAGTAGGTGTAAGACACACTCACTGTTTCTATCTAATCCTATGAAGACATAGATGGTCTCAAGGATTTTAAACTACAGTCTAAATTTTTCAGACGATGTAAAATACCTTGGTATTAAATACCTTTGACATGGAACTCTTACTTTATTGTTAGAGTTAAAATAGCACATATTTGCCGCCACTGCTTTCGGATGCTTCCTATCGTTTAATGTGGAGATTCTAAGCTCTCATTGACCATATAAGGTCTGCCACTGACTAAATAGGAGCTTTTGGTTTTTCATAATCTGTTACAATTATAATTATCTTGAGCACGTTTAGTGTACTGATTGTTGCTGTAAGCATCTGATACCAAGCCTAATAAAAAGCCATTCTTTTCTATCCTTGAAATTAGTAATGGCTTAGCTGCTGCCCTATACCATAGATAGCCTACTAACATTAATATAAACAACTCGACGATAAAAAGTATAAGGATTTACGTGAAGCAACAGAAGAAATAGCAAAAGTAAAATGGCACTTTCCAATTAGTTAATTTTTAATAAATAAAATTGCAGAATGTTTCGTAGGATATTTAAGCTATCTCACTTCAGAGCTTTCTCCTTGTCTCTCATAATATGATTCATTGTAGACTTGCAAGTAACAATTAGCAATTAAAGTTATATATTCAGATGCAAAATTAAACAATTTTACAAAGCTTACGATGATGTCAAGGTCTAGGTACCACATTTAATGTTGAAAACTAATAATATTTTACAGCATCGTATAGATTGAACAATACCAGAAATAGATTTAATTAATTGTTATATTATGAACACGTAAAATAGTGATAAAAAATATAATTAATTATTCATCTAATTAATATTTTAACGCAGAGCAAAAGGTTTGATGAAATGGCACTTCAAGGTTATATACATTATCAGATGATACATTATATGGGATATTAGTATTAACACTTTTATTGATTGTAAAGTTGTTAGTGAAGTTTTCAATGTGCCTGCTTTTATATACAGGGTGAGTCATGAGGAACTTTACATACTTCTACCATATGTAGAGTCCCTCAGGGAGCATATCATGTGGCCACTAAAAAATGTCAACTCCTCTTCTTTATTAATTAACAGGGTGATTTGTTTAATTGCATTTCGACTGGTATTAGCTAAACTAAGAAATTCCAGGACTGGCTTTGGAAAAATTAATTTAGGGATTCGTATTAAATATTACACCCTGTATATATATATATATATATATATATATATATATATATATATATCGGAAAAAGGATTGTGTGGTTCTCATATTGTAAAAATTTTTTAGATGAACTGATGATGCTTTCAAAACTCGAAAGCGAAACGTCTTCAAAATAGATAAAGTAGCCTATCAACTTTGTCTTTTATTTCTCCACCTAGAGACCGATATAAGAACCCACCACTCGTCTGAGTGATTCTTATATATATATATATATATATATATATATATATATATATATATATATATATATTTTAAATGCAATAAGTGATTTTCAAACTACATAAATAGCCAATGAAAACGACATATGCGACAATGTTGTCGAACTTTTATTAAATTTTTAGTGAACGATCAAATCTTACCAAAAATAGAACAACCATAATGAAGTATTAAATTATAAGGTAATTAATTTAAACAAATGTTATAAACTTCAAACATTTTAATTAAAATGAGTTCCTACAACATAATCTAATACGTAGAAAATTAACATCTTTACTGTCATTTTGTATTATCTCTACGATAGAATCAATTGTTTTTCAATTTTAAATTTTTACTCATAGATCGTATTGGGGCATTATTTTCGATAAATAATAAATTAAATTGATTAAAAAGTCAAACCTCTTGTATGTGTTAGTTTTTGTTGATTGTAAATGATTAAAATTTTATGTCAAATAATAATACATTGCATCAACTGTACTAAATAAAAATAAATCTAAAAAAGTTTAAAATGAAGGTTGGCTTTGACCGTTTGACGTTTCTTGATATTTTATACCCATTGTCATTATTGTCATTATCAATTGTTATTTATGTGTACAAGAATACATATATTTCTTCTGTCATATCTACGTTAGTACATTGTGTTGGTTTTGGTAGAGCTTTTGTTACTTTCGTTCAAAATGCCACATCAGTTTTCGACCACAGAATATGCAGACATAATATTTGTTTATGGATTCTGTAATGGGAATGGTAGGGCTGCTAGTAGAGAATATCGCAGGAGATTTCCTAATCGTCGAACTCCCAGTCATCGAATATTTGGGTCAGTTTTTAATTATTTGCGAGAAAATGGCACTTTTCCTAGTGGAACAACAGAGCGACATGTAGATGAAGCGCAGGAAGATGACATTATGGACGCCGTTACAATGAACCCTACAATAAGCACTAGACAAGTAAGTCGAGAACTCAATGTTACTCAATGAAAAGTAAGTAGAGTCTTACAAAAAAATAATCTATACCCATATCACATTCAAATGGTTCAGCGACTACATGCTGGAGATGAGATCGATAGGTTGGAATTTTGTAGATAGATTAACAATAATCGACCAACGCTATACAGGACACTATTTACAGATGAAGCCCAATTTACCAGAGACGGGATAAATAATTCACGAAATTCACATGTGTGGGCAGAAGAAAATCCCCATGCTATTCGAGAACGTCGTTCTCAGTTAAGGTTTTCGGTTAACGTGTGGATTTGTGTCATAAATAACCAATTAGTAGGTCCTCACTTGTTTGATGGTATTTAAACAGTGCAGGTCTATTTGAACTTTCTACAAAATATTTTGCCGAATTTGCTTGCTATCCGAGGGATGTATTTTCAGCATGATGGGGCACCCCCACACTTTTTACTGGCAGTGAGACAACATCTCAATAATGTTTATGGCAATGGGTGGATAGGACGTGCAGGTCCTATTTCGTGGCCTTCGAGATTCCCTGATTTCAATCCCGTTGATTACCATATTTGGGGACGATTGAAGCAACTAGTTTACGCAGTGAATATTAATAACCGACAACAATTAATTGATAGAATTATACATTGTTGAAATACTATTAGAAACGATCCCCAGAGTATCCGTAATTCAATACGTCAATTAACAATTCGGCAACAAAAATGTGCACAGGCTGCAGAGTTCCATTTCGAAAATCTATTTTGAATTATTTTTATTTTGTTACCATTATTGTATCTTTTCCAGTTCTAATTTATGGGTTTATCATAACTATGTACATATTTTTAGTTTTTTTTTTTAAATTGTTCTTCGTTATTGTTAGTAGTTACTGTTTTTTGTTGTGCAGTGACTCAGTTTATCATTTCAATTAAAACGTTTGAAATTTATAACATTTGTTTAAATTAGTTACCTTATAATTTGATACTTCATTATGGTTGTTCTATTTTTGGTAAGATTTGATCGTTCACTAAAAATTTAATAAAAGTGCGACAACATTGTCGCATATGTCGTTTTCATTGGCTATTTATGTAGTTTAAAAATAACTTATTGCATTTAAAAAATATATATACAGGGTGTAATATTTAATACGAATCCCTAAATTAATTTTTCCAAAGCCAGTTCTGCAATTTTTTAGTTTAGCTAATACCAATCGAATGCTTGATAGTAGTGTACTGTATCATGCAAAAATTAAAAAAATCAAATGAGCTGTATAAACACTACAGTAAAATGAAATAAATGGTCAATTACACAAATCACCCTGTTAATTAATAAAGAAGAGGAGTTGACATTTTTTAGTGGCCACATGATATGCTCCCTGAGGGACTCTACATATGGTAAAAGTATGTAAAGTTCCTCATGACTCACCCTGTATATACAGAACAGACGATACAGCTTGTATAGTCTTTAAAACGATTTTGTTCTGAATTGAATATAAGGAATTTTTTTATTATTAACAAAATCGCATCAACCAAATTGGCTAGTAGCGAATAATAATTTTTATTGCATTTATATGTTTAGATAGCGTTTAGATGTTAATTAAAGTATAAAATTTTCTCGAAATTTTTCCTCGTTCTAAAACAATCTTCTTTCGACTGCTAATTTAAAAGCACCTTCTGTATTACGACATGACCAAATTAGATTTGAAATTATCAACTCCTATTCTTCCTCTTCTTCTTGGAGTATTAAAATTATTGCGTTAAGTTTGCGAGAATTCATTTTTCTAAACGTAAAGCCTTTAAGAGAATAAATGTGAAACTAATTTCTAAACTTGTTTTGAGCGCGATAGAATATATGTCTGTGAACTAATCTAACAAACTGTATACGCGAAGTTTGGTACGCATCTTTATTTTATTAGACCACAGTAATGAATTCAGTATTCGGATGCATTTTTTCCCTTGGGTTATTCGGTTTTGTACATCTATCTTAACTCTGCCATCTGCTGATATGATGCTTCCTAGATATTTATACTGGTTGCAGCCTTTTATGACTGCGTTTTCAAGCCTCAGATCTTTGGTATTTCCTCCAATTTTTAAATATTCTGTTTTGCTTATGTTTACAGTAAGCCCCCATTTGGCATATTCCTCAAATAATTTTCGATTCATATAATTTATATCTTCCTCATCGGTTGCAACCACCACCTGATCATCTGCAAACAACAATGTATACAGAGTTTCTTGTCCCACTTCGATGCCCATAAATCTACATTTATTTCTCCAATTCCTCAATGCTTCTTGGACGTATATTTTAAAGAGTGTCGGTGACAAACAGCATCCTTGCTTTAGGCCTTTAGTGACTTTAAATTCATTTGAGGTTCTGGTTCCAATTTTTACACAACAAACTGCATTTTCGTACAATTTATATATCGCTCGGATATACGTCGAATCCAATCCGGACCTTTTGAGGACCTCAAACATTTTCTTTAACGGGACACTATCATATGCTTTCTCAAGGTCTATAAATACCAAATGAGTCTCTCTACTTCTTTCGACACGCTTTTCAATTATTTGTCGTAGGATAAATATATTATCAAGGCAGTATCTCCCGGTACGAAAGCCGCTTTGTTCTTCAATATCTTGTATCTGTCTTTCAACCCTCTTCTTTAATATTCTGCCGTACAACCGGCCCACAGAGCTCGTCACACTAATACCTCTATAATTGGAACAGTCTCTTTTATTCCCTCTCTTATATATGGAGCTTATATAAGATTTATTCCAATCTTTAGGAATTTCCTGGTCTCCACACATACATTTATTGAAAAGGTCTACTATTAATAGTGCGATAATTATTAAATAGCGATGCTTGTTCAAATTTTTACGATAATTTAGAGATGGCACTTTTAAGTAATTTGTACCTTTATATAACACTGATGAACAAAAAATATCCTCCATGCTTTTCAACGAATATTATAACAAATATTAGAAAGAAGCACAGCTCGGAACAATGTCAAGAAATCTAAGTATTACAAATTCCAAAGGCAATTTACAGAATTACATTCAATACTGATCTAGTTTATTTTTAGGGTGTAGTTTTCCCAAGTCTTCATTGTTTGGTTGCCCGCTGGGCGCCTCCTGATGAAAAGGGCAAATTTATAGGAGCTCTTTTGGGCGGCTCACTAGGAACTGTGATAACGTGGCCCCTTTTAGGGGCCATTATCGAAAAATTCGGATGGTCGTGGGCTTTTATTGGATGTGGAATATTTGTCATTTGTTGGACTGGTTTGTGGTATGTTTTCGTCACCGATTCGCCAGAGCAACATCCGCGAATCTCCGAAGATGAGAAGAATTATATAGTGCATAGTTTGTCGGGAAGAGTATCTAAAGTTAAGGTAAGTTTAAAGTTAAGGTTAGCTAAAAGTAGAATAGAATAAAGGGGAAGGAAGAAGAGGAATTAGAACAGAGTATATTGTAATTTGATTTTATGTTGGAAATCTCTTTTATTTATATGTACAGCTAGTTCCTGAAAAAACTTATACGACTCTTAAAGCATATTTTGTAAAAATTGAGCAGTGTTTCTTTATTAAATGAACATCAGAATAGAAAAAAATTGTATAACATAACTTAACTTTGGTATTTGTTTTGGAATAAGTAAAAACTAGAAATTATAATTCTTAAAGCTCCAAAAAATATAATGCACTGGCACGTCATCGGTCCATATCTCCTCAACTGTGGAGGTGAGAAGCGCCACTAGGAGTAGGAGAGATGGACAAAGCTAAACCGTTTTATTTTTAATAGCAAGAGATTTTCCGCACTTATTACAGAGATTATCGAAGCCAGTACAAGTTTCATGTAACCAGTGCTTACAAAAAATACATTGTAACCAGTCATCTTTTTTACATGTTTGGCGATAATCCTAGTTGCACCCAACACACCCATTTTCAATATCATTCATGTTTTTATCACCACTAGTATCGTTTAGAGTAACATCTTCAGATAGTGACGATTCGCTTGGCTTCTCTTACGTTTTCTTTTTTTTTATTGGATTTAAGCTTTTTTTTTATTCAAGGCATCCTTCTTCATTTTATTAAAGTCTTGAGCAATCTCTCCAGTTATTTTTTTACGAACCCTTTTTACTGCTGCTGCCAATATAGGCACGGGCGTTACCTCATCAAGCTAGTAGATCCAGGTTGGTCGTATGAATAAATTGTTCCTTTCAAGTTGACAAACACGTTTTTTTCATTCTGTCAAAGTTTTAATTAATTTATTTAAGTTTATTTCAGTAGGATAATACTAAAATAAACTTGAGTACTTGAGTATCCTACTATACAAAAAAGGAGATAAAAAACAACCTGAAAACTACAGAGGTATCAACTTATTAAACACAACTTTGAAGCTTACAACCAAAATATTGCAAGGCCAAATAAATCAGAGAATTACCTTAGCGGATGAACAGCAGGGTTTTCGCAAAGGAAGATTGTGCACAGATGCAGTATTCATCATAAAACAGATTACCGAGAAAGCACTAGAGTATAACAGACCAGCATTCATATGTCTAATAGACCTGAAGAAAGCGTTCGATAAAGTAAAGCTTAAAGATGTAATTCACCTTCTTTACGATAGAGAAATTCCACTAGATGTTATAAAAACAATAGAGAACATTTACCAGAACAACAATATGGAAGTCAGAATAGATGACCAGCTTACAGATCCAATAGATATGGGCAATGGAATAAGACAAGGAGACTCGCTTAGTCCAACGCTATTCAATCTAATCATGGATGAATTCATCAATACTATTAATAAAGGAAGAGGATACAAAATGGGGAACAAATAAATCAGAATACTCTGCTATGCAGATGATGCGGCCCTAATTGCATCCAATGAAGACGATCTACAAAGACTAACCCATAGATTCAACAAAAGGACAAAGGACTTTAATATGGTGATCTCTACACAGAAAACTAAAACAATTGTAATCAGTAAAGAACCAATTAGATGTAAACTGGAAATCGACGGTATCAGCATTGAGCAAGTAACGGAGACAAATTACCTAGGAATTACACTGTCTAGCTACGGAGATGTGGAGAAGGAAGTGAAAAATCAAGTACAAAAGGCTAATAAAATAGCAGGTTGTCTTAATAACACGATATGGCGCAATCCCCACATTAATACCGACGTGAAATCAAGAATCTACAAAGCAACAAAAAGACCAATAATGACATACACTTCAGAGACAAGACCGGATACCTCCAAAACTCAGCAACTACTAGAAACAGCGGAGATGCGTTTACTGAGGAGAATTACAGGAAACACACTGAGGGATCGAATGAGGAGTGAAGAGATCAGAAGAAAATGCAATATACCAGAAATAAATGAGTGGACACTGAACAGAAAAAAGGAATGGAACGAACACATAAACAGAATGGAAGAGACCCGATTAGTCAGAATAGCGAGGGACAAATCACCAAAAGGTAGAAGTATCGGGCGACCACGCAAAAGATGGAGTGATAACCTCCAATAGAGGCATTAATCGACATTGAACAAGCATTTTGCTTATAAAAAAGAAGACGAAGAAGAAGAAGTTTATTTTAACAAGAAGTTCATAACCAGCGCAAATATACAGTTCAACCTTTATGGTTTCTTCTAATCCCTTCATGGTTTGTTTTAGGAGTTATCAATGGGTGTATTCCAATGCACGTGATATTGAAGAAAAGAGGAAAAATATACGAAAGAAGAAATGAAGACATAGCAATAGAACGTTTAAAAAAAGAAGAAAAGGAAAGATCCATAATGGTGTGGCAAGAGGAATGGGATGAGATGAAAAGGGTGGCGCAGTGGACGAAGTCGTTGATTCCTAACCTGAGAAGCTGGATGGATTGCGGGCACCGGCGTTTGGATTATTTCCTGACGCAGATGCTCACAGGACATGGTTGCTTCAGGGCATAACTTTACAGATTTGGAAAGGCAGAAAATGACAAATGCCTATATTGTGGAATATCGGACACTGTCTCACACACCCTATTAGTATGCGATAGATGGATAGTTGAAAGGAACCTGCTTGAGAGAGAGAGTTAGGAGGTAGGGTGCAATCAGTCACGGAATTGGTGGAGGTGATGCTTAGGTCGTCAGATCGGTGGAGAGCAGTTCAGAGATATGTGAGGAAAACATTGGAAAGAAAGGAACAAGAAGAAATGCGACCCGAAGAGAGGCAGGGTGCCCAGGACCAAGCAAGAAGATAAGGCAGAATGAGTGAGATTTAACATGAATAGGGAGGAATAGAGGGAGAGAAGAATGCTGTCGTAGTGAGAAAGTGCTAGAATGCGTGAGAATTGTGCGTAAATGAAAGTTTGGGTGAATGCCGTGCCGAGGTTGCGTCCCAATCAGGGCGATCCGGCAGGTAATTCACCGCTGAGGAGGGTGTTTTTTTTTTTACCAGGTAGGTTTCTGGCATTGGCGGCGATGGTGTCCGAACAACCCGAGCGAGTGGCCTCGAATATCATCGTAGCCACGCTGGAGGAGTCCTGCATAACCGAGGCTGGAAGGCGGTTCAGCTCGCCTTCTAGGACCGAGGTATGTTTCGAACGTTTGGATCACCCCCCTCATAAAAGAAGAAAAAAAAAAAGGTTGGTCTTATGGGATCTATGGCCGTCTAATATTAATAAGGTTTTACCAGGAGGCTTTCTCGGTAAAAAGTGTGTTTTTAACTTTTCTAAGAAAATGGCACTGTTAACGTCTGCAGATTTTTCCGACATCCGACATTTTAAATACAGTTCAATAACCTTCAACTAACAAATAATCGGTCAAAATCACCTGTTTTTCCAAAAATGCAATTTAAAAAACTCAAATAAAATTATCACACTTGGCAGTTTCAATTATCGTAAATAATACTCCTACAAGTACGTACCAATGCGTTACAAATGGAGTCCTAACATAGTAGGAAAGACTTGCCCTGTTGCCAAGCTCGGTCAGGTATATCTAGCGAACCGACTATTCTCCTGGTCCATCTCTCCTTTCTTTACCCTACCTAAAGTTAGTATAGCGTTGGTCTTCCAAACCCTTCTATTGAAGGGTTATAAACCCTTCTCAAATTGAATTATTTGTTCTACGGTCGGTCCAAGGAATTCGTAACAATCGTCTCCAACAGAACATTTCAGTGGCGTCTATCTTTCTTCTCTCAGATTGTCTCAGAGTCCAAGATTCACATCCGTAGTTTAGTATTGGGAATATTAAGCAGTTGATCAACTTCATCTTTATCGCTCTTGAAATTTGACAGTCCTTCCATATTTCGGTCATTTTTGCTGTGGCAACTTTTGCTAGATCACATCTACATTTAATCTCTTCTTGTAATGACCCTGTGTTTGTGATTAATGATCCCAGATATAAGTATGAGCTCACAACCTCGAACCGGTCAATTGTGGTTATGTGTGGATGATTGTTGTGTAGTCTATCCACTATCATGATCTTTGTCTTTAATATGTTTAATTGCAGACCAAATATTTGACTTTCGTTTTCGATCAGTCGTATAAGTTCTATCAGCCCTGCTTGACTATTTGCAAGAAGGGCTGTGTCATCTGCGAAACGTAGGTTGTTTAGTTTATGACCATTTATTGAGATGCCCTTTTCCCATCCTTCAAGTGTTCTTCGCATAATATACTCCCCATATATGTTGAATAATTGTGGAGATAGTATACATCCTTGTCTGACACCCCGTTCTGGATGAAATTCGTTCGAAAGTGTGTCAAGTACTTTAACTGATCCAGTAGTGTGTTCATATAGTTCGGTTACAAGCGTAATTAGATGTTGTGGTACGCCTACTTCTTTTAGTATTCGCCATAAGTGTCTCCACTTGACCCTGTCGAACGCTTTACGGTAATCTATAAAACAGATGTATAGTGGGATGTTGAATTCCCTAGATTTCTCGATTATCTGTCTTATATTCAGCAGGTGTTCTCGAGTGCCTCTACCTTTGGTAAATTCAGTTTGTTCTTGTGGAATATTTCTTTGAAGGAATGTTTTCAGTCTCTCATTGATTATATGTAGCATTATCTTGCTGGCGTAGGATATAAGATAGATAGTTCTATAATTGTCGCATTTATGGAAGCTGTCTTTTTTATGTATGGTCGTTATTGTAGATTTTGTCCAGTCTTCAGGCCATTGTTTGAAATGCCATATTTGGTTACAGAGTAGATGAAGTAACTTTACGCCGGTTTCTTCTGTGGCTTTAAGCATTTCTGCTGTTATCATATCTGGACCTGGTGCTTTGTTATATTTGAGCTTGTTGATAGCCTGTCTTACTTCATTTTCGAGTATATCAGGTTCTTCTTCCACCTCGTCAGAGATTTGGCTAACAAGCTCTTGGAGTTAATCATCTTTATATAGGTCACTGAAATACGATCTCCATGTCTCTGCTATGTCTTCTATGTTTGTTCTCAGGGTTCCAGTCTTATCTTCAATGGCCCAAGTTCTGGCTCTGAAGTCTCTTGTCAGGTAGCGTATTTTTCTAAATAGATCTCTCGGCTGATTATTCTGACCATGTCTCTCAATTTCTTTGCGTATACTTTGATAGTACTGTTTTTTTGTCGGCCTTACATCTTCGTTTTATTTCTTTATTGAGGTTTCTTAAACTAGCTTTTTCCCTTTCACTATTTACACCACTTTTACAAAGATTTCTTCTATTCTCAATTAGTTTAAGAGTTTCATCTGTTATCCAGTGTTTCCGTTTCACCGGATTATTTTTCTTTGGGCGATCCACTGGTGTTATATTTTAATTTTAAAACTATCATGTATATATTCCTTCTAAAGTGCAGCAATTCCAAATAATATCAAAATTTAGACCTTAATAATTATTACAATTAATAAATTAACATATGTAATCCATTGTTTGTTGTTTGTTTGTTTATAATATTATTTTTTTGTCATAATAAATATAATAAATGTCAGAACAATCAAACACACTGCTCAAAATGATCAACTCTTACTAATAATCGTATCAGTTTTTTAGGAACCAGCTGTATATCTTTATTTTTTTTTAATTATTTGTTGTAAAACAAATAATGTTTTTCAATATCTTTAAAACCAAAGGTTACTCAAAATTTTAGCTGCTAAATTGCGACCAGAATCTTTAGAAAGTAACGAAGCTTCATGCATTGATACCTAATTGATACCTTGATAATTACATGCAATTCAACATACAACAGGATATGTTAAGATGAATGTATTACATCTGCGTTACTTTTAATAAGTACTTGAAATCGTGAATAACTAATTATCAGCTACACGTGAATTTATTCTCAAATAGAAAACAATTTTGCTGAATGCTGTAATGATTTTTTTTGTAAAATTTCTACTAAAAATAACACTGCTACGATATGTTCATAAAAATAATATAGTTTCTATCTAAATAAGCTTAAGCAAATATTTAAATAACATATTCTATATATATTATAATATATTATTATGAATTATACAGGTAACGACATTGTTTTGTTGACCATAGGAATTAAGATTTATTGCAATCTCATCTCTAGAGTATATTTATTATAATGCTCTTATACTAAATTTTTGGTTATTTTTTAGCCTTAATAGCATTACAAATAATTAAGTAAGTAAATAAGTAATATGCTTTATTGTCACTTAAAATTGTACAAATTTTATGAACAAAGCTTATAACAATAAGACAAGAAAAAGAAAAAAATCAGAATAAGAATCGTTTACACTTTTATATAAAAAAAAACAATAAAATTCTTCCAAACTTAAACATAAAAAATACTACCTACTTAAGAACCTAAAACTTCGTAAAATGTACCTAACAAAAAATAAAAATTAGGAAAGCAGATTGATGAATTAAGAGTTCAAATATTCCACCTCCTTGTGCTAAACAGTAACCAAATCTATCATACAGATTTCTCCTCATATTCTGGAGTAGGGATGGTGTAATACTTACAGAGAAGTGAAGTTTTTTTGCCCTTAATTCGACTAGGTTTGTGACCCTTTTAAACTGATGCCTTTAAATGTTTTCTTAGAGAAAACCCCAAAAAAAGAAATCGTTAATTGTACCACATGTACTTATCAGTTGATCAGAAAACGTTTGATTGGGGAAGTCAATAGGTGCTCTAGAGTTGTGAGCCAAACACCCATCCTGTTGGAAATAAACCTCCTGAAAATTAACCTAACATCCCAGTCCAAACATTTAACTTTTGCAGATGCTGCGTTCGTACTGCAATACTGAGGTGCTTATTTTTCCGAGATTCAACGGATGGATTGTTTTTTTATGTAATGAAAATGAAGATTCGTCAGAAAGTAAAATGTTTTTTAAAAAGTGTACATTTTCATTCTGTTTATCTAACATAAATTCACAAAACTCCATCCGCAGAAAGTTATCTTCCGGAATCAAACTCGCTGGGCAGTTCGAGCATTCACGTTAACTTCCCTAGCAATTTGTACACTACTGCAAGGTTCACTGTCTTTCACAAAAGCACAAATATCAATATCATTGTTTTGGCGCTCTTCATCGACAGGTCTAACACGTGGTTCATTACCTTCATGACACTTTTTACAACTGTTTACACATCCCAAAGTTTGAAAATGTTTAGTGGTATTTTTAACTGTTGTAACACTTGGTGGGGGTCTATTGTCGAAGGCAACAATAAATAAATCAATTACTTCGCGTATCTAAAGACCCCAAAAGTACCATGTTACAAGCTACACTTTTTCTTGGGCCGTATACAACGTAATAGGCATTTTATTAATTATTTGTTTATTCTTTCAGAATTTCGTTTGAAATTTTTAATGTCAATATGATAATTACGACAATTCGTACCTACTGTGAAATGAATATAGAGGTGAAAACGTGTAACATATCAGAGCGATTGCCACTGTGTTGTATGGTCAATAAAACAATGTCGTAATCTGTATATAATTTCATAAGCTTTTTCTGTATTTTAGAGACTTCCACCATATAAAGATATATTCCTTACTGTTCCATTTTGGGCGTTAATGATTTTACATTTCGGTAACCTATGGGGACTATTTTTCCTGATGACAGCAGGACCCAATTTTCTTTCGTCGGTACTAGGATTCACATTAGGACATACTGGAATTTTAGCAGCTTTGCCATATTTGGTTAGGTTGATACTGGGAATAATATTTGGACAGATCGGTGACTATATCATTAAAAAGGATCTGATGAGGAAGACTATGATAAGGAAGAGTTTCGTTGTATTTTGTAAGTATGTTTACTAGTAGAAACTTAGGTTTAGAGAGTATAGGTATCAATTATTATGTATAAAAATATGAAAATTATTAAGATCCCGGGAACATTGATTGAAGAATTCAACAATCGTGATCTTCTTGCATATGTAAAACAGCATATTAAATTTAAATGGAATACACGTTGGATTCAGTTTGGTGAAACTACAGGCACTAACTTATTTAAATTACAACCAACAGTGGCTGCACTAAATAGAAATACAGTGCAAGCAGTACAAGCATCTACATAAAATCTGAGTTCTAGTGCAGCTAAACTAGTATAGCTGTAGTATCGAAATGTTTGACTGATAGACAATGTTCGTAAATACGGTTGTGGATTCGGCAGTTTGTCTGTCCTATGTATGTACGTGGGCAGCTGCAACAAGGTATCTCATAGACACAATAGTCTTCATTGGGAATTAGATCTTTTACGGATCTGACAACTGAGATTAGACAATTTAAAGTGAGTAGTAACTATGGTTTTAATATTTAGAGGGGAAAAAGTTCTACTTATTTTGTCAGTGACACCATTGATAAAAGGTAGAAAGATCTTTGGTTGACCAGGCGGCAAGGTTTCTTTTTTTGGATGGAATGAGGTTTAAATGTTTTTGGATGCTGCTATTGATTTGGGTATTGTGGTCGCCGTTTTGTAAGAGTGTTTGACTTATTAAATTGATTTATTATGATTTGTGATTGTCGTCGCTAAGTCTTATGGAACGGGAAAGAATAGAGTGTTAATAACTGAATTAAATTGGGCGGTTTGATGATGTGACTGGCCATTAATATAACGGTTTGTATGACTTAGTTTTGGGTATACTGAAAAGGAAAAACTGTGAGGTGGGTGTTTCTGAATAAGAACATCAAAGAATGGCAAATGGAAAGCTTTAGACTCAACTTCCATCGGGAATTGAATACTGAGATGTATTCCATTCAGGTGGAAAAGATCTAATGTTTCTTTACCATGGGGTCAAATGACAAAGGTGTTATCAATGTTCATAACCAGCAGGTACGTTTGAGATTCAATGAGCACCGGATGAAGATTTTGGAATCAAAAGTATGTATTAGACATGCAACGTTTTATAAGAGATTGTGTATCTTGGGGATTTGATGTTTAGAGTCCAAGATGGAAATGGTTTCATCAATAGGAATGTTAGTGAATAAAGAAACAATGTCAAAATTAACTACTATATCCGTGGGTGAAAGAGAAATGTTGTTCAGAAGATCAATGACATGGAAAGAATTTTTGACAATTAAGACGTTTTTGGCTAATGATTGTAAGTATAAGTCGAGATGTTTTGCCAATTTCTGAGTGGGGTAGTTGTATGCACATGGTCAAATGGTCAAAACTTAACTATTTCAAACTTACACACGCTCAATTACACTTGCGCAAGTCTGACATGTAAACAACAATTCAAAAATTTTCTTAAGTTTTATGTTGCTTGTACAGTTAACATACTTGTACACATATTGCCTAACACACGTTCCAATATATTGTTCAATAAACTTGTACATGTATACTGTTCAAGTATACATGAATGTGTATGGCGGCCTTAAGATTCTAATGTAATTTATTAACATATGAACCTATACTCTGGAAACTCTGGGAAATTTGTGAATATCAAAGTTAATTCAGATCTAGACGATCAACATTGAACTAAGTTTGCGTATGAAGAAAAAATGATATATCCAAAATATACATTTCCTGTTTATGTACCAGTAGTCTTGTAAAATAAACTAGATTTAAATAAACTGCATTTAAGTTAATATATATTGTATATTTTGCAGCTCACTTGCTCCCAGGAGTCTTCTTATTCATACAAACTTTAACCGGATGTGATGTTACCTGGGCTATAGTTTTGATATCACTGTCATTGGGAATGAACGGGGCTTCTACATTGACAAATTTGCAGAATTCTCAAGACCTATCTCCAAATTTCGCTGGGACACTTTATGGTATCATCAACAGCGTAGGAAGCACTACAGGGTTCATAAATCCTGCCATCGTGGGATACATTACATCTCAACACGTACGTATATCTCTTTACTTTATTATATTTTTTATTTGATCTATATATTTTTCCTTAGCCTTTTTTAATTAACATCTAAGATTTTTACAATATGTTTCACAATAAAAACAATAGGTAAAATTGTTTGTCTTAGCAATGTCAGAGAGATGTAAGGTCCAGTGATCAAAGCATCAGAACGTAAATATTGGCTTGTTTACCGGTGGGATGCGCACATACACAGATACGCGAATACGAATACTAAAAGCGCCACAGATCACAATGGCTGGGCGTTGTTGTAGACGTAGCTTCCACGACTGTAGGCCCTGTCAGGAACATTTTGGTAGGTGCAAGGGATAATATCGCTTCAACCTCTTCGCTTGTTGGTTGTTGACAAGATTATATGCCAGGGTGTTAGGATGCACGCGCAACCTATTTTGATATTGTTCAGAAATTCTTTTGCACTCTTCAGCGACTGTTAGTACTTGCAGATCTCTATGTAAGACGTGATTCTGGATATACCAAGGGGCATTAGCGATTGTTCTTAGGAGTGTTAGATTGAAATCTTTGTATTTTCATAACATTAGAATTGCTAGCTAATTCCCAAAGTTAAGAACCATACGACGAAACAGGTTTTATGATTATTTTGTATATTAGGTAGGTGTAAGTGTAGATTGAGAAGACTACCCACGCAGGGTTGTAAAGCCAGAATGATGATGTGGATTTTAAGGGATTTACTTTACTTTTCTTGAGTTTAAACCATTCATTAGTTTTCTTTAGATATAGTTGCAGTATCTCTGATGCTATTGCTGGGTTACTATGAGATGTAAGGAAAGCAATATCATCTGCAAATGTTGCAAACGTTAGGATATTGCTTGTTGGTAAGTAAGTCGTATATATCAAGTACAAGACCGGTCCGAGCATACTACCCTGAAGTACACAAGATTGGATGGGGTAGAGTTTTGTTTATGCTTCACTATACCTTACTAGATATATTCTTTCTGTGAGGTATAATTTAAGCAGTTTGAAGTAGTGTAAGGCAGGTTTTTCTTTAACTTATACATAAGTCCGAACCAGGAAAAATTCATAACACCATTAAAGAAATGAAGCGTATAAATATAAGTATCCTTGGAATAAGTGAAATGAGATGGCCGGGGTCTGGAAAAGTAACTGTAGATGACCACATTGTATAATATTCAGGAGAAGACAGCTCAAAACACAAAAATGGTGTAGCAATAATTGTGTCGAAGGAAACAGATGAAGCTGTAAAAAACGTCGTCCTATTCTCAGACAGGATACTGATGATACAAATACAATCAACAACAATCAATGTGAACATATTACAAGTATATGCACCCACACAAGACTATGAACAAGAATAAATTGAAAAATTATATCATGATTTAGAAAAAGTATTAGCACCTACAAAGAAACACGATCTCAATATTATCATGGGAGATTTTAATGCAAAGATTGGTGAAGGTGAACAGGAAGATGTCATAGGGAAATATGGTCTGGGAATACGAAATGAAAGAGGAGATATGTTGGCATCTTTTTGCGTAGAAAAGCAATTAGTAATAATGAACACAATTTTCAAACTTCCAAAACGTCGTCTTTACACCTGGAAATCACCAGCAGATACACCTGAACGAGTTTTTCGTAACCAAATAGACTTCATATGTATAAATAAGAGATACAGAAATTCAGTATTATCAGTAAAAACATATCCAGGGGCAGATGTACCAACAGATCACAATATTTTAGTAGGAAAAATAAGACTGAGATTAAAAAGAGTTACAAGGACGAATAAGCAAACAGTTACTATTGATAGAGAAACGATGCTAAATGATACTGTAAAACAAGAAATAACTAGTATATTAGAACAAAAGTTGAAGTTAACATCACGCAAAGAAGAAAGTACTGAGGAAAACTGGACGAGAATTAAAGACATCTTAAAGACTGTTCAAGAAACAAAATTGAGTGCGCTAAAAGCAAGAAAAAAACAAGGGTGGATGACAGAAGAAATACTGAGACTTATGGATCAAAGAAGAGAAGTCAGAAATAAAGATAAATACGAATACAAGAGGATCCACGCAATAATCAGGCAGAAGATAAGACACGCGAAAACACAATTTCATAGTAAAGAATGTAATGAAATTCAAAAATATGAAAAGAAACACGATACATTTCATCTGCACAAGAAATTAAAAGAGGTCGCTGGAAACAAATGGAAACAAGTATCCCAAAGTTTAGAAGACAGAAACGGACACAGAATATTAGACATCAATGAAAAGTTAAAAGAATGGGAAAACTACATTTCTGAATTATTTGAAGATGAGAGAGTAGAACACTATACACCGATTGCTATATCAGGTCCATCTATAACAGAAAGTGAGGTAAGACGTTCAATACAAACGGCAAAAAATGGAAAAGCACTTGGCCCCGATGAAGTAAGTGCTGAAATACTAAAGTTTTTGGGAGAAAATGGAATTAAAGCTCTGTGTAATCTCTTTAACAGAATTTATGACACTGGAATATTACCAACTGATTGGTTAAAGTCGACATTTGTCACAATACCTAAGAAACATCGTCCAAAGACATACGGTGATTATCGGACAATAAGTCTGATGAGTCACGTTTTGAAAATCTTTCTGCGAGTAATACACAGCAGAATTTACACGCTGTTAGAGAACAGAATTAGCAATACTCAATTTGGGTTTAGGAGTGGCTTGGGTACAAGAGAAGCCTTGTTTAGTATACAGGTGCTAGTACAGAGATGCAGAGATATAAATCAAAATGTGTATATTTGTGCAATCGATTTTGAAAAAGCTTTTGACAAAGTCCGACATAACAAAAGGCTAGAAATATTGGAAACAGCTGGATTGGACGATAAAGATCTACGAATAATTACAAATCTATACTGGCATCAAGTGGCAAGAATAAAGGTTGAACAAGAACTGTCGGATGAAATAAATATAAAAAGAGGAGTGAGACAAGGCTGTATATTGTCGCCTTTACTTTTTAACTTATATTCGGAGGAAATATTTAAGGAAGCCTTAATGGAGACAGCCGAAGGTATTATTGTGAATGGAGTAACCGTCAACAATATTAGATATGCCGACGATACCTTAGTCCTTGCCAATTGCGGAGAAGACCTTCAAAATCTAATGAACAAAATAAAACAGACTTGTGATCAGTATGGATTAAAACTCAACGTTAAGAAAACTAAATATATGATAGTTAGCAAACAAAATTATATACATGATGACGGTATAAAAGTCGGAGATGCCACACTGGACAGAGTAGAGAAACTCGTGTATCTCGGCAGTAATATCAATGAGAGCTGGGATCCAACCGCAGAAATTAAAAGCCGAATAGAACAAGCCCGAGCTGCCTTTGTAAAAATGAGAAACGTACTTTGCAGTCACGATCTTAGCATTGACCTTAGAGTTCGTATGATATCTTGCTACATCTTTCCTGTCCTGCTGTATGGAGTAGAAGCGTGGACCCTAACTGAGGCTATGCTTAAACGCTTGACAGCCTTTGAGATGTGGGTATACAGACGACTACTGAAAATAAGCTGGGTCGACAGAGTTAGAAATGAGGAGGTCCTTAGACGGCTGAACCAAACAACACAACTGGTCAATATAATAAAGAAACGCAAGCTGGAATACTTCGGTCATATTATGAGACACCCTGAAAAATATGATCTTTTACATCTAATCATTCAGGGAAAGATCCAAGGTAATCGTGGTCCTGGTAGAAGAAGAACATCATGGCTGAAAAATCTAAGGCAATGGTATGGAAAATCAACTACATCGTTATTTAGAGCTGCTGTCAATAAAGTCACGATAGCAAATATGGTAGCCAACATGATATCCAACGATCGATAACGGTCATGGGACTAGAAGAAGAAGATACATAAGTCCTGTGTGCCACACCTTGAGAGGCATCATGAGAGACTGCAGTACAATATTGCTTGTTTTCGAGACTAGTTTTTATTGTTGTATATAATCCGTGAACGTATTATAGTGAACCGTGTTGGTTACGAAATCCGAGTTGATGGCAGACATAAGACCTTTTTTGTCCAATATTGGTTTGATTTTTCTCAACAGAAGTTTTTTAAAACCTTTGAAATGACTGGGGGTAAACTTTTGGATCTTTGCCAGTTTTTTTAATGAGTATAATCTGTGCCACTTTCCATTGAAAAGGGAAGTAGTGCAGACTTAACATACTGAATATTGTGTAGCATGTATTGAAATATATATTGCTATATCTACGCAGATTTTTAGGTTTAAACTTTGTAAAAACAAATAAATAATATCATAAGAAATGAACTTGGTTATTGAACAAAGCTGGTTAGCAATTTCTTTGGGAAATGACGAAATATGGTGATGGTAATAATGATGATGATGCTAAATAATTACATAATTTTCTATTTCTCTATAATAAATTAAACTCACGTGCATAAGCCTTTAGGCTTGCTCTATCAAGAATTTTCAGTGAATTCATATTTGGTATTTTATTAAAATTCATTAATAGAGTTATTGTTAAATTTAATATCTTTTTTAGAACGGCTTGGACGAGTGGCACACCGTCTTCTACATCGGATCCTCAGTTTACATTGCTTGTGGATTAATCTTCTGTGTATTTGGCACCGGAGAAACACAAGTTTGGAATGAAGTGGACGGAAAGAAAAGCGCTGATGGAATAGAAAATACAGCCTTTGAAGATATAGATATAACGAAGAACGGTATTGAAAACACAAAAGTGTAATGAATAAGCAATTTTAGTGTATTGTTATTAGTATTATTGTACATATATTTATATATTTTTATTGACTCATTCTAATAAAAGAACTAGAAGAGTATTTTGTCTTATTACTCATCTTATATTTGTCTTTATACTTATGCGAGGTTTGTTTCCCTAATTCTATTTCTCCATAAGTCTCCATAGGTGCTCTGGGTCTGGGTAGGTACATATATTACTTTTTTCAAGTAAATGTTTAGTAATTCAATGAAAATTACGAGAGAGTGCCAACAAAATGAGCAAAATCTACAAAAAGTCGAAATTGAATTCCAAAACAAAATAATACTATTAGATACTATTGGGACCATGCAAGTTCGGAACAGCGACACCTGGTGTCGTAAATCAGCAAAATTTACTGCGCTTTCATGTTAGATCGAGGTTACTGGATAACTGTCAAGGACTTAGCCCCAAAAAAGAATAAGAAGAAAAAGTAAGATTCAGGTTATGTCGGTATGTTATTAAAAGGTAAACGTTGTATGTATTGTAAATACAAATAAATATATTATTAAATTACAGCATTACTGTTAATATGGATGCAATAATAAAAACATTAAACTTAATTTTTGGGTTAAAATGAACTCTAAGTGAGTGTTATGAAACTAAAATTTACACTTAAAAGTAACTTTTATTTATTATTTATTTCAAACTGACTTTAAAATCGGGCGCAAGAATAATGCATAATTTAGGTTATGTTACTTATGCTTTTTTATTGTATAAATCCACTTTTCTCTTTGTATTAATTTGTGCTTCGAAGTTGGAAACAAATAAAACTTAAATTGACAATTTTTTGTTGTATTTTTACAATTTATAGCACAGCATTTCCTAAATCCCATTTTCTTCAGTGACAGAAGGTGTAAATAAACAAACGAATATGAAATATGACAATTGACAATATGAATTTATGAAATCTGATGAAATGAAATTTGCAGTAAAAAATGCAAGATTTCTCCGCTACTCGGGCACGATCGTTTCTCGTATCACGTCCAAGTACTTGCACGTCGCCAATAGGGTAAACATAAAACGTACGTCATCAAAATATATAAGAGAGTAATTCATAGCCGGAAAAAGGGGCTCCAGGATGAAGAAGAATATCCTGGCTTGCTAACATGTGAGCTTGGTATACAAATATTTCAACACAGCTATTCCATATAGCAGCGGTTCCTAAATGGTGGTCCGCGGACCCCAGGGGTTCCGTATGTTGGATATAGATAAATAAATTTAAATATTTTCTAGCAGTGTCATCTATTGGCTACTTTACTAGTCGAATAATGTACCACTTTCCTTTTTTGGCGTAGTAGCAAAATTACAGTCATAGAGTAAACACGTGTTAAAATAGTAATTGTTGAATATATCTTCTATAAAATAGGTACATCTACTGACTAAGCTGACGTCATTTTGCTGATAAATGCGCTTTACGGCATTTAATTCGGGACTGTAGCTGTACATGTTGTGGCCGGCCGGTTCGGTTAAGTGCGCGTGTACCTTAATACATCTAAGAGAAACTACATGATTTATAGGGTTATATTTTGAGGTTAAAATATTACCTGGCTTTTAAGTAATGTATGGAAATTATATTGCACATTTCATTCTTAGAGGACAATAAGCGGAGTATCTGATCAAAGCATCATTGTATTGTTCACTAGAGTTGAAGTACATGCTCTATTCCGAAGCAGGTAAGTTTTATTTCTAAAAATATTAAAAAATCATTCAATTAAACTAGGGAGTAAATAATAAAGCAGGAAGCAAGGTTTAGATATCTGGGAATAGATATAACTAGGTACGGAGATGTTGAAGAAGAAGTACGACAACAAAGCTTAAAAGCAAGTAAAGCGGAGGGATCTTTTAATGACACAATCTGGAAGAACAAACACCTAAAACAAGACACAAAAACAAGAATCTATAAAGCAGCAATTAGACCTATATTAACATACACGGCGGAGACAAGACCTGACAAATCTAAAACGAGACGACTGCTAGAAACAACAGAGATGAAAATACTTCGAAGAATATTAGGGAGAAGTCTGTTGGATAGGGAGAGAAGCGAAAAGATAAGAAGAGCGTGCAATATAGAAGATATAAATGGATGGGTGACAAAACGAAAACAGGAGTGGAACGAACACATCAGTAGAATAGCAGAGGATATGATAGTACGAATAGCATGAGATAAGTCACCAAATGGATCAAGAAGTATTGGCAGACCAAGAAAAAGATGGTGTGACAATTTAAACAATCTAGGAGGCTAATATTGAAGAAGAAATATTCTTTAAAGCCCACATACTAACAGGAAGAAGAGGAAAATGTATGAAATAAGAGGCACGATATTGTAATATTTGTGAAAGTATAAGTGTAAACTGTGTATAAAGATGAGAAGATACAAAAGCAATAAAGAAAATGTTACAGCGGAAGACGAAAAAAAAAAGAAAGATGCACAACAAGATGGTTGGATGATTTGAAAGACTATCTGAGCACTATAAACGTAAGATAACTTAGAAGGGCACAAAAAAGGTAAATATTTAGTGTTTTGATGGCAACAGAAGGTATATTTAGAAAATTCTTTAAAAAATATCTGATAAAGTAGCTATGCTGCAATTTAATAGCACTCCTCGTAATATTAATTTTATTCAAGTATATGCTCCCACAGCAGAAAAACCAGAAAGAGAAGTACGAAAATTCTACCAAGAGATCAAACAGCTAATGAAGCTCACAAAGAAAAATGATGTAAACATTAATATGGGAGATTTTAATGCCAAAGTAGGTGAAGGGCGGACCTAAGACGTAGTAAGAAATTTTGGTTTGGGTCAAAGAAATGATAGAGGAGAAATACTGGTCCAATTTTATCAAGAAGAAAATCTAATGATCGCAAAACTTGGTTTAAACAATCGAAAAGAAGATTCTTCTTCTTTCTCTTTTATAAGCAAAATGCTTGTTCAATGTCGATTAATGCCTCTATTGGAGGTTATCACTCCATCTTTTGCGTGGTCGCCCGATACTTCTTCTACCTTTTGGTGATTTGTCCCTCGCTATTCTGACTAATCGGGTCTCTTCCATTCTGTTTATGTGTTCGTTCCATTCCTTTTTTCTGTTCAGTGTCCACTCATTTATTTCTGGTATATTGCATTTTCTTCTGATCTCTTCACTCCTCATTCGATCCCTCAGTGTGTTTCCTGTAATTCTCCTCAGTAAACGCATCTCCGCTGTTTCTAGTAGTTGCTGAGTTTTGGAGGTATCCGGTCCTGTCTCTGAAGTGTATGTCATTATTGGTCTTATTGTTGCTTTGTAGATTCTTGATTTCACGTCGGTATTAATGTGGGGATTGCGCCATATCGTGTTATTAAGACAACCTGCTATTTTATTAGCCTTTTGTACTTGATTTTTCACTTCCTTCTTCACATCTCCGTAGCTAGACAGTGTAATTCCTAGGTAATTTGTCTCCATTACTTGCTCAATGCTGATACCGTCGATTTCCAGTTTACATCTAATTGGTTCTTTACTGATTACAATTGTTTTAGTTTTCTGTGTAGAGATAGTGTAGATATTAAAGTCCTTTGTCCTTTTGTTGAATCTATGGGTTAGTCTTTGTAGATCGTCTTCATTGGATGCAATTAGGGCCGCATCATCTGCATAGCAGAGTATTCTGATTTCTTTGTTTCCCATTTTGTATCCTCTTCCTTTATTAATAGTATTGATGATTTGGACTAAGCGAGTCTCCTTGTCTTATTTCATTGCCCATATCTATTGGATCTGTAAGCTGGTCATCTATTTTCACTTCCATATTGTTGTTCTGGTAAATGTTCTCTATTGTTTTTATAACATTTAGTGGAATTTCTCTATCGTAAAGAAGGTGAATTACATCTTTAAGCTTTACTTTATCGAACGCTTTCTTCAGGTCTATTAGACATATGAATGCTGGTCTGTTATACTCTAGTGCTTTCTCGGTAATCTGTTTTATGATGAATCTGTTTCAAAGTGGTGTTTAATAAGTTGATACCTCTGTAGTTTTCAGGTTGTTTTTTATCTCCTTTTTTGTATAGTAGGATAAGCTTAAGATTTTCTTCCAATCTTCAGGTATTTTATTATGTTTCATGATTTTGTTAATTAGTGCTGTTAGCTGTTCTGTTAATGCTTCTCCACCATATTTCAATAATTCATTTGGAATTCCATCTTTACCTGCAGCTTTTCTGTTCTTCAATTTTTCTAAAGTTTGTTTTACTTCTTGTACGGTTATCTCGACTTTCTCGTTTGTAATGATTTCTGGTGTTTCTGGTTCTAACATCATTTGCTGTTCATAATTATAAAGCTTCTTTAGGTATTTAATCCATGTGTCGTTATCTATGTGTTTCGGTTCGATTAAGTCTTTCATCTCTGATCTTTGGCCTCTTATTAAACGCCATATTTCCTTTTGTAGACCGTAAAAGTCGTGTTCCATTTCTTTTGAGAAGCGTTCCTAGTGTTCGTTTTTAATTTTTCTTACTAGTGCTATTGTTTCGTTTCTTATCTTTTTGTAATTGTTGTATTCTTGTGGTGTTTTGTTAAACATGTATTTTAAGTAAGCTTTGTTTTTTTCTTTGCATTTTTCTTTCACTTCTGCGCAGAACCACGGAGTTTTCCGCTTTTGAAATTATTTATTTTTAAGAATTTTCCTTTCTCCTACAGCTTCTTTTGCTGAATCTAGGATGCTTGCTTTAATTTTCGCCCAGCTTTCTTCGATTCCATCACTTTCTACGATGTGTACGTTGTCGAGTTTATCTTTGACTCTCTTTTGGTATAGAAGTTTTGTTGATTCGTTCTGCAGACTCTCGACTTTTACCTTTGTGGTGTATTCTTCTTTTTTATTTTTATTGTTTTTATTGTTACATATGCGTGTCGTCATTCTGATTTTTCCTGTAGTATAAGCTTATGGTTGCTTCCTATTTCTGTAGATGTTGTAGTCTATCATTGACCTTTGACCTCTTGTATTTTCGAATGTGTATTTGTATTATTCCTTATGAGGGAAAAAAGTGTTGTTGATGCGTAGTTCATTCGTGCTACATAGGTCCGTGAGGAGATCTCCATTTTCATTT